CGTGGAGCCGGCAGTTCCTCACAGCCCGCTGACAGCAACAAGTGACCGCGCCTGCCGGCCTGGCGTCTGGCTGCTGGGCTGGTGTCTGGTGACGGGCAGAAATTAAACGTCTCATTTCATTTTTTTCCCTAATTTCTCATTTTCCTGTAGAAAAAGTGTTCGCCAGCCTCCCGCAGGTTGAACGAGGCGTTTCCAAAATTATCGGAGGTGATCCTAAAGGCAACAATTTTCTTTATACCAATGGAAAATGTGTCGTCATCAGAAACGTTGATGTAATGTATCCTAGTTTATATTTTTTCGTAGCAGAGAGCTTTTGCTAAGTTTCATTTTATTTCCCAGCCCCTCTCCTGTAATATCGCCTGTGCTTCATTCACACTTGGTGATTTCATTTGGGGTCACAGGTCTGTGAGCAGCAGTAGGGGAATCAGCAGACTGCATGACTCGGGCATAAAACCATGGGCAGCAACTGCGAAACCTGTACAAAATCTCAGTGAGACGTGCAGTTCTCGCCCTCTCTTTGCATGGGATTTATAGACAACAAACTGGTATATTCTGGTTGGCCCTGTTTATCTTAAGTATCACCATTATGAAGTTGAGTGTTGTGTTTGCCTAATAAATGAACTCTTCCCTATTTGCTGCATTGTGCCTTCAGCTTGTAAGAGAAGCATGCAAATACTTGCAAACATGTATCTTTAAATGCATTAGTCTATAACTTCTTTTTTTTTTTTTTAATCCCCTGCACTCCAGGAATCAAAACAGTTGTCAGTTGCTTGACTCTGTGGCAGGCTGTCTGCATGTTGAGTCAGCCCTGGTCACAGGGAACTCTTCTCACTGATTAAATGTTAGAATGCCCCAGTTAATGTTTTCAAGTGGTGGGGAGGTTTGGTGGTTTTGTTTTTGGTTTTGTTGTTTGCTTGTTTTTTCTTCTCTGATGTTAGCCAGAGAAATGTTAAGCGAGTTACTTAAGTGATTTCTTTTCAAAGATGGCATCCCTTTGAGAAGTATGGAGGAAGCATTGTGTGTCTAGGCTATTGTCTTGCTACTGATTTAAAAAAAACCAAAACTTTTCTTCAAAGTAAATGCTTGTTCCTTAGAAAATAAAATTTTCCCCTAGATTGACTTTCCTCTCTTACTGCAGGTTTGGCCTGCTAGGAGGGTAGGTCAAACCTCCCTGGAATTTTTAGGTCTCCACAAGAGTGGATTTGCTTATGACTGCTTCTGTAAATCACCTTTGTAAACTGAATTTTCATTAGCTATTTTCCTGATTTATCTCATCACCTCCACTATATTCAGACATTTCTTCACTGTCCTGCCATAATACAGAAATGCTACTAATAACTTAATTCCTTCCAAATTTCCTGTTTGATATCAGTTTAAATTTATCAGTTTAAAACAAAAATGAGCTTGCACTCTGGTTTTAGTGTCTCAGTATTATGTTGTTGCAACAGTGTTTCACTCTTGGTGTCAAGAAAAATGCAATTTTCTGAAACCAGAAGCCCCACTTAAACACTGTAATGGCACTCGGTGTGATGAGAGAAGAGAGAAAAGCCACTCTGCTTACGTTACAGTTTTTGCCCAAGGAGGTTGTGGCCTCCTCCCTTGCATTGTCATTAGTGCTCATCTGACCCTATTTGAGGGTTAAATTGGAAGAAAACAATTTGCTTTTATCTTCCTGAATCAGCTCACTGAAGATTTACCCGATACAAATGTTAGTCCCAGCATGAGCCAGAACATAGAGCGCGTGGCAGGGTCTGAGTACAGGTGAGGTGGGATTGTGGGAATTCAAATTTAGACTGTTTAAACTCTCAAGGGAGGTTGAGAATGGAACTCATAAATCCTTCGGCTTTATGGTGTTACTCATGCAGATATGCAGACTTACCTAACTGGCAAAGAGAGTCTGCCACTGTTAATAATTGACAGGTGACACTCTGCAGACAACTGCAGAATGTATTGTATCAGTGACACACAAACTGACCAAGGCCTGTGGTATGGCTCTGGTGTTGGAGAGTGTTGCAGTTTGTTACCTGACATGGAAGTGTGTTGGCTCTTAGTTGAGAACCATACCTTCTTTGAATAATACAGAAGCCTGTACATTACAACCAAATGAAATACTAGGAAATCTTTGTAAAATCCCTCCATGAACAGTCCCCCAGTGGGATGGTTGTGTTCTAATTAAAAAAACAGGTTATCAAAATGCAGTGATCACCTGTCTCAAGTTAGATGTTACCTAGGATTGGCTAACTGGTGGTGATGAATATAGCCTTCAGGGTTAATGCTTGGTCTTTGAGCAAAAAGTCCAGGAACAGTGCTGGAAAGCACTGTGAGTCAGAAGGACTGGTGATATTTGTAAGGTTTCATACCTCGTTAATATTTTATTGTCTTCATGGGTTTAAACCTACTTTGAAGCTTGGAGCTTCAACTGCTCACTTTCATACGTGGCTCTGGTTTCAGTGTTCGAAATAAGCCACATAAACTTACTCTTCTGGTTGAATCTAGTATTAGGTACTGCCTTTGTCCCAGTTAACAATGTAATCTTATCCTAAAATCTGTTTAGAAGTGGGGTTTTGATATGAAAGACATACAAGTTAAAAACTGACTTTACAAGCAGAAATGTTATCAAATAAATGGCATTTAAATTGGCAGTTCGAACTTATTACCTGATTTCCTGAGTCTATTTATTGTATCTTAAATTTGGGAGCCTATCTTTCATTTAACCCCTTAAATCGGTCTGTTAAATCCAGTCTCTTGTCTTCTTAGCTTCCTAGACTCTTGGAAATTCTTGCCGTAAAATAGCAGCTACTTACGTATGCCATTACTAATGAAGCGTGGGGGTTTTTGCGCTCCCTGAACTTGTAGGTGATGCAACTGTAGCATGGGGAAAACATTATCTTGCCTGTCTTAGATAAAATCCAGTTGCACACAAAATGGAGAGTGATGTGTATGCTATAAATGCAGATGATTGTGACTTAAGTAGGGCTATAATGCACTCAAGCAATGTATAAAAGCAGGAGTGAAAAAGAGCTGCTGCTTGCATGAGTAAGCTGTATTCTGTCTCTTGAGATGTAGCAGTACTGCAACAGCAAGAACTCTTGCAAGCAGGAGACTGTGCCTTCTAATACGGAGCAGGTGTTTTAGGTTTTCCTGATTGGATGGCTGAGTCATACCATAATATCAGGCACTTTTCTGGTTTAGTTGAATAAATCTGTATTAATTATAGCAGTTAAAATGGACTTCCGTTTGGACCGTGTGAGTCAAGTTTCTGGAGCAGGAAGATACCTGTTAACTAGTAGAAAAAAATTTTCTGAGGAGTAACGTATTACTTTTGTAGCATATACGCACTGTATGTGGAAGATGTGCAGAATAACTTTTTAATGCAGTTAATTTGAGGGCAGATTTTGCCTTGATGACATCCTTTATCGTTTGTGTGGCACCTCTGTAGTGCAACGCTACTGATCTGCTGAGACACTGAGTCAGTTTTATTGTCCAACCTGAAGCATCTGAAAGCGTGTTTAAGACTGAAGAGAGAAAATTGTGGTGGAATGACAGTGAATTTATTTCAGAATTCTGGTACAGCTCTTAATACTGGGGAAAACGTCTTTTCCTGTGCAAGTCTACTGGCTTTTTAACCAGATTGCAGTTGGCAAGAAGGAGCAAGCCTTGCACACCTCACTGGTTACTGAGTGATCTTGAGTTCCTGGTGATGATTAACGACCATGGAGTATGGTTAACTGTATGCTTAATTTTCATACTCAACTATAGGAGAACTTTTGGATGTGTGGTGCAAAGCACAGCTCGTGTTCAGCATTCTGCTTAGGTAACTACTTTACCTGGGCCAGCCCCATAAAAAGAAAGCCCAGTGTTTGGCCTGTTGTTTTGGAGAGTGTTTCTCTACCTTTCAGCAGCTATTGGAGAGGAAAGAGTCACAGCAGCCCTGGCTGCTAGAGGAAATACTTAATGTCGGTTGTTAGAAATCAGTGTGGTGTTTTAGTGGTACTGGACAGCAGTGTTCTGCAATGTGTGATGCACTTCTGAGTTTTAGACAGTAGCTCAATTTAAGCTGGAAGGAAGGGTGTGAGAGAAGGAGTGTGAGGAGAAATGCTGAATTTTATCTTGGCTGTCTGATTTTACTCCTTTGAAAACCGGAAAATACAACGTAGTAACTTTTTTTCCTTTAAACTAGAATCCTGCAATTGCTGACATCTACACTGAGCATGCCCATCAGGTTGTAGTTGCCAAGTACGCTCCCAGTGGATTCTACATAGCATCTGGAGGTAAAGTATCAGTGCGCATGTTGCATGAGATACATGGAGAGAGCTGTTGGTGATTGACGCAAAACAGAGTAGTAACGCTTTACACTTATGTACAGAATATACATAGTCACTATGACATGCTTCAGTGGAACTATGTATACATGCCTGAGGGAGGAACAATTTCTCTAGCTGTTCATCTAATCACTTTCTAAAGCAGTGAGTTTTATGACTTCAATTATCTTTTTAACATTTATTACTTAGGTCAGAAAGAACCTGGAAATGAACTTTAAATACTTCGTGTGAAGTGTTACAGAGAACAAATCTTAGTGTAATGAAGACTTGTGTATGTGCAGCAGAATGATAAGTTATTTCTGAAATACAGGACTATTTTTTTTTCTGTCTGTTAATAAACTTTGATACTTTGGGGACAGGGAAGGGATTCTGGACAAGTGTATACTCCTTTTCTTTCCCTCTTCCTTTCTTCCTGACTGAACTTGGCAAAACTTGGCATGACTTTTCTTATGTTTGTAACCTGAACTGAAAAAGCTTTCTTTGGTAAGTTAGCAGGGGAGGAGGCTGATTCTCAGTTTCCGTGTAAGGCATGTGAATCAATAGTCTGAGAAGGAATTAGTATGTATGAGTTTCTACAGCATGAATTTCCTGGATTGCTAGCAGAAATTGCTGCAGTTCTGTTGACTTAGAGAGAACTAAACAAACCCTTTTTAATAGAAGCTTGCTTCAAATAATTGATCTTTTTTTTGGGAGGACTGGTATACACTTGAATAATATTGATAAGTACTGTAATATCAATTTCTTAAATATTTGCAGTTAATCTATAGGGTTTTTTTTTTAAATCTGCTTGCCATTGTCAATTAGGAATGCTTCAGAACCAAGTAATGAGCCCAAATACAGAAATACCAAGTAATATATCTGAAAATAAAACATTATGATGTGAACCCCTTAGGAAGGAAGTCCAGACTCATCATGCGCAGGTCTTAGTAGAATGGGAGTTTCTCTCTCAACAATTTAAAGGGAGCAATATTTTTTTTTAATGTAAAACATTCTATCCTTGGCTTCCTGCATACCTGCATATCGGAGAACTGTGTTAGAATATATATCTTTTGAGTACTGGGGAAGCTTTAAGAACACTCCCCACCCCCTCTGCCCCTTCCTCTGTCTGAAAGGAAGTAGAGCCAGTATTTTCTTGGCTGTTTTGTATGTGGGCCATATGCCAAATTGAATACCTTCTTAAAATCCCATTTACATTCTTATTCTACAGACTTAGTGCTCTAGGTTTGTGCTGTACTTAACCCTCAGAATAACACAGAATCACAGAATGTTAGGGATTGGAAGAGACCTTGAAAGATCATCTAGACCAACCCCCCTGCCAGAGCAGGAACGCCTAGATCACACAGGAAGGCATCTAGGTGGGTTTTGAATGTCTCCAGAGAAGGAGACTCCACAACCTCCCTGGGCAGCCATCTATTTTGTTCTTGCAGCCTTGTAGATTTTCAGTCCTCTGTGAAAGAACATTAATATATACATAGCCTGATCTGTGAAGAAGTTTTTCATTAATGGTCACTTAAGGAATCTCCTTGCTCCTAGAGGAGTATTCAGTTGAGATTTTGCAGCAGTTGTCTGTCATATGTGAGTAAATAAGTTTCAGCTGCAATATTCCCCTTAAAAAGTGTCTTCTGTACATACATAGTTTATAAATAGTTTTGTGATACTGCTGAGCATGGGGTCTGAAGATAGCATCAGGCTGTTTAAGCTGTTTCTAAGTATAACATGCAAGATTCATTTCTCTGTCTATAAATCTGCATTAGCCATGCAACCTGCATTAATACTTCATGTGCTTGATGAGACAGACCTTTGGCAATAAGCTTTGCGGCTTTTTTGGTAATTTCTCTTACTGCAGGCATAACAGATGTAGTAATGGGAGATTCCACAAAGTTAAAGCTGTATGTGTCCTGTCTATTAATAGATGGGGCAAACAATTAGGTTTTGAAGTCCACATCAAAATTTTGCTTCAATAACAAATTCTTTATGTAAAATGGAGGATTCTGCATCTGTCGTTCTAGCAGAAGTGGAGGCATGAGTCCACGATCAGGTCCTAAATATACAGGGTTGCTGTGAGTTAAAATCATCATGTAAAGATGCACCAATAAATGGTGAACAGACAGAACTAAAAAACCTTCTCCTGAGGTGAGAGGTATATATTTTAGCATGTGGTTTATTCTAAACCAGTAACTTTTATGAAGGGTCCAATACACGCAGAATTTGCTGTGTGGGTTTCATTAGAGATGTGTAAATCTGTCTGTGTACAGAACAATTCCTCTGGTCGCAATGCGGCACCACGGTAGTTGCTCTGAAGAGAAGCAAGCTCTGGGGCTGTGTAATATTGAGAGGAAACAGTGACCAAGGAAGCTTTCATTATATTAGATCTTAAACTGTTATGACCTGTGCTATGTCTGCTGCTTGTGATATTACCATTGTTGAATATTCTGTTGGATTCCTTTGTAGTAATCCAGATAGCGCAGGTATCCACATGCAACACTAAATGTGTACATGCTTCTGTATAGAAAAGGTATGCCAATGAATAGAGTTCTATGGGCAGAAACCTCTGTGTGTTTACTTACACCTAGTATTTGTATGCAAAACGCGTTTGCTTTGAAGATACAGAAAAGCTGAGGTATGAATTTTAGTGCGTCAGGCACTGTTCACCGGATTACTCTCTTATTGTAGATGTAGGGTGGCTTACTTCCCAATGAAGCGTGGGTAAGCTGTCTTGTAGCTGCTGGAGCAGCAGGGCTGGTTTGGGGTGGGTAGGAGGTTTTTTGTTTGGTTTTTGGTGGGTTTTTATGCAACACACACTTCAAACATATTGGCTGATAACATTAGAGTTTCTACCCTCTTATTGTGCAATTTTTTCACATCTGTTTTCAAAAGTTGTCTCTGTGCATTATATTTATTGCTGCATGTCTCAAACCTTAATATCAAGTTAAAAACGTAATTCAGTGAAATGATTGTAGTCTTCAGCATTCCTAAATCAAGAGATTTGTAGTAATTGTAATAGAGTAAGATAATAGGGCCCTAGTACAAGTGTTCAGTGTTGCTGAAAATCTGTATCCTGGCAGATTGCTGAGTCACGTGACCGAGTCATGCTGGAACAACAATAGTTATATTCTATTTTATTATGGCAGATGTCTCTGGAAAGCTGAGAATCTGGGATACTACACAGAAGGAACACCTACTGAAGTATGAGTATCAGCCATTTGCAGGAAAAATAAAGGACCTTGCCTGGACTGAAGACAGCAAGAGAATTGCTGTGGTTGGGGAAGGAAGGGAAAAGTGAGTAATTCTTCTGCGTGTGCATGTGTGTGTATGTACACACACATACATATATATACATGCTGTAAATCTGTATTCTAACAAAGCGGGTTCTTTGCAGAAAGCTTTTGAATTCTTCAAGGGAAGAAAATCATTGCTTGTTCCCTGTTGATATTTGACAGGTGTAGAACTATTTGGAAAATACATTTCTGTTAGAATTTCTCAGTTTAAAGTCTGTGTGGGTCTTGTTTGGTTTTTAGAGGCGAGTATTGCACTTAATGATAGCTGTTCAGTATGCCTTTTGGTGTTTGTTTTTTTTTGTCCAATTCTGATAGAGTAGGAAGGGAGAACCACAAGACAATTCTTCCTCTTTCACCTCTCCCAAATTGAGAGGACATGATTGAATGAGAGTAAAAAAAAAGTATCTGAATTTTCTCTCTCAGCAACACACCCATATTTTTAGACCTTATTATGGTAATTGGAATAAAAGCACCATCAGTTGTCCTTGTCTGACTAAATGGGGTGCACATTACAGTCAGGTTTGTGTCATTTCTTTAGTGCTTAAAGACTGACAGATACTTAAGGCAGAGTCTAGACCAGGTAGTCTTATGCCTAAAGGTCTGAAAAACATTATGTCGTCTTATTCCCTGACCCCCTGCATCATTTTTTAATTACTATCATGTACTGTGTCCTGATATTTGAGAGATATTTGTCTTCCATCCATCCCTTACCTCCATGTGCCCCTGGGTAGATAATATGTAAATTTACTCTCCTACTTCACAGAGCCTACCAGTTTCCTGTTAGATGGATGTACTTTCAATCTAGAATTTTGCTGAAGTGATTGCATAGAACTCCTTTTTAATAGCAAAGCTCTGGCAGTTTAATACCACTGTACTGATTATAGTGATTTTTTTTTTTTAAGGTGATTTAGAGTAAGAACTGACAAAAACACTGTTACAAACAACTCTTCTTCCTTAAACCTTTAAGTAATAATAGTTGTAAAAATTATGATACCCATCTAGGCTAAATAATCAGATAAATGATCAGATGTCATTGTTATCCTCGCTTTCTGCATTCTTTGTAGTGACTAGGCAGATGGAATAATCTACTGCTTTCTTTTATAAACCGACAGATTTACTGAAGAGTATCTTTTGTACCTCTGAAGCTTAGAAGCTTTATACAAAAAAACGTGCTTGTCTGTTCCCTTCAGCAAATGTCTCCTGTTGAAGACTAGGTTCTTTCTCCAGCAAGGTCTCAAATATCCTTCAGGGAACTATGATGCGCTTGCATGAGATTAACAAGATGACCTAATTTCTATTATTTGAGTGCACTCAAATCTGCTGTTTGCAGATGCTCAAGGAGTTAATCTACATGTAACTCTTATGAATTGTAGTTATTGTGTGCTTTTCTAACTAGATTCGGAGCAGTGTTCCTGTGGGATAGTGGTTCTTCCGTTGGCGAGATTACTGGGCACAACAAAGTGATCAATAGTGTGGACATTAAACAAACAAGACCATATCGTCTGGCAACTGGCAGTGATGACAACTGTGCTGCTTTCTTTGAGGGACCGCCATTCAAGTTCAAGTTTACAATAAGTGTGAGTTTAAGTTTAAACACGACTGTTAAACTGCACAGCAAGTTGACTAAAACCTTTCCAATGAGCTTGCAGTTCTTGTCATGACTAGCTGTTACAACAGAAGTTCTTAGCTCCTCCATTTGAGGTATGATTGTTATCAGTTAGCTTTCTTAAACCCATCTGTGAGTATAACCAAAGGCTTGTCTCAGGCCAAGAAAACTGAAAGAAATGGTTGGTTAAGAAGCAAATCTGAAGCACTTGTTCTGATTTTTTTTTTTTAAATGACTCTTCATCCTGTTCCGTAGCTGTAGTAGGATGTTTCATCGGCCCTATTAGTGCTTTCTGAGCTCTGCTTCCCAGTGCAGACCTGTGTAGAATTTCTTAATACTGTCCAAGGTGCTTTCTTGAAGAAATACAATGCTGTGAGTCTTCCAGTCTGCTTAAGAGTGCTCAAATCTGAAATCTTAAGGCAGCTTAGAAAGGGTGAGTGTAGATGTTTGAAAAGGTAACTGATTTCTACAGTGAGGAACGGGAATGTAACTTCTGTGGTCAGTTTTCTGTTTTTCCATTCCTTTTCACTTTTTGTTTCTTATTCTACTGGTTAAAATACCTTATGCAAATGAAACAAAGCCTGGAACTACCACACTTAAGACACTCATTGTTACTTGAGGCCAAAGAAATTAAAAAGCCAAAAGCTTCTGCACCTGTTTCTGATGGCAGAAGACTTGTCTCTTGCCTCAAGAAAAACTATTGCAAAGATACTGGATGTTATTGCCATAGTAAATCCAAAATGTTTAGTTTTTATTTTATTTTTAAAAGCACAGTAGTAGACCTTTTATGTTCTTAATTATGTGCCTTGAGTAGTCTTTATACACTGACTTTAGTGAAGGATTCCATTCCAGTTCTAGAAAAGGAATTGTTTTGAGCTCTGCAATCCAATGAAATGATGTAGTTGCCTAATATATTTGTGAACTTAAGTTGATACTTGGATTTTGCTAAGCTGGTTCTTTTGGAACTCTGAACTCTGAGTTGCTTCCCAGTGCTGCTTAGAGTGGTACGTGATGCAGTCTTCTTTTAAACTGTTATTTGAGTTGATGTATGGGGTTCTGGTACAGGCTGTTGCATGGTTTAGATTAGAGCTTGAGGTATAATGAAAAAAAATTCTATAGTTAAAGAAAGTGGGTTAGAACCTTCCTTTCATAATACTAAAAATAGTCGCCCAAATCTCTCTGCATGGGAGCTTTGGCCTCATTGTGGTGCTTCCCTATTTAACGTGTGTTTTCTAGTTAGCATGGTTTGAATAGTCTCCTATTTGTAAATATTCTATTTGGGGAGCATGCATCAGTCTTGCCTGGTTACTTCACAGAGCTACCACTAATGCAATCTCCCAGAAATGGTATTCCAGTAAAATAATAATTTATTCTTCATACCTGTGTTTTTTACAATAAAAACGATTAAGTACTCTTCTGTGCATAAAACTTACACAATGAAGCAAGAGTTAAATTCTGGAGAATGTTGCAGAAGAATTCAGTGACCAGAGGGGAAGAATCTCATGTTTGCATCTAGGCTGCAGCTGAGGGTTTTTTTCCTACCTATCACTGAAAGTGAGTACTTGTTCACCTGGTTTTATGTTAAGCTGTTCAAACTACATCAGTATTGATGCCACAGTGTCTTCCCTGGACTTTTCACCCCATGATCCTGTTCAGATAGAGACTAGACTTGCTCTGTAGCAATTTTGTACAGCCAGCATCTCCTACTGAGACTGCTGATTTATGGCTCGTGTGTAAGAGAACTTCATTGTTACTGGATTATCTTCCATGTAAAAAGGTCTATTCTTTTGTGTGCTGATTCGTGCTTTTTTCCTACAGGACCATACACGGTTTGTGAACTGTGTGAGGTTTTCTCCTGATGGGAACAGATTTGCTACAGCTAGTGCAGATGGCCAGGTAAAAAAATAAAGAACCTTTTTGTAGTGATGTTAGCATGAGAAGGTTTTCTTGTGCATTTTGGGAATAGGATTAGTATTGTAAAAACCTGTGTTGCTTTTTTCTTGCCAAGAAATGACTGGTTTAAACTTTTAACTATCTTCCTATAAACTGTGACAACTGATGTCAACCAGACTATTCTCACTCAGCTTTTTTACCCATTCCATCTCCCTAGCTTATTAACTTCCCTTACAGGTTATTTTGGTAGGAACACACCAGACTTTTGGAGTATGTATGTCCTGGTTATGATCTGGAGAAGTCTGGCTGAAATACTGAACTCACAGATAGCAACCCAGCTCTGTGTGGACTCCCTACTGATAAGGGCAGGTTTGGCAATGGTACTGTTACCATAGGTAGCTCCTCCTTCTAAGAAGGCAAATTCCCATGACTGCAGTGCTAAGCAGCTGCCATCACAGCAGGAGTCAAAAATGTGAGATCTTCCAGAATTTCAAATGTCAGGATCCAATGTACAGAGTGGTTTACTGTGATTATTTACAATTGTCATCTCGGTTGTTTAGTCTTAAATATTAAATACAGGAACACTTGTGTGGAATACTTGTCTAGTGTTCGCTAAACCTGCAAGCATGCCATGTAACCAAAGAATGATGTGTGCAGTTCAAGTAACAGTGTTTCAGTTCTTGGTGTGTTTTGGTTTGTTTGTTTGTTTTTTTCCTTTTACTGCTTTTCCCTTAAAGTTACATGTCTCTGTGCTCTCTTAAGATTTTTGTCTATGATGGGAAGACTGGAGAGAAAGTGTGTGCTCTTGGTGGAGGCAAAGCTCATGATGGAGGTATTTATGCTGTAAGTGTCACTTCGTTAGTTCAAATGGTCCGTAGTATTTCAGTATCAAGTTAATGGACTGCTAAGTCTTGCAGTAATAAATGCATTTACTATCTTGTGGTGACATTTATTTTTACAGATTAGTTGGAGCCCTGACAGTAGTCAGTTGCTTTCTGCTTCTGGAGATAAAACTGCTAAAATCTGGGATGTTGGTGCTAATTCTATTGTCAATACTTTTAACATGGGATCAAATGTGTTGGATCAGCAGCTGGGTTGCTTGTGGCAGAAAGACCACTTACTGACCATCTCCCTGTCTGGCTATATCAATTATTTGGACAAGAACAATCCAAATAAGCCTTTACGTGTCATAAAGGTAGGTTAAACTTTTGTTCTTGCGCTAGTTTCTGCAATAAATTAATTGGTGGTTGAAGTTTTCTAGATGGAATAATAACTTGAAAAATGGTTTTGTTAAATTAGCATTGCCAGACAAGCTATGTGTGACTGACTCTTAAAAGTCACATGAATCAAGAAGTTAAAATGTTACATATATGTAACTGTGCTTTGTGCAAATGTATAGACTGATTTTTGGTTGCAGTTAAGGTTATCAACTTATCTTTCATAGCACCTTTTAAGCATTCTTGAGATGAGAAAAGAAATACAGCGTAGATAGAAAACTACCAGTGATGTCTCATTCTACCAGAGCTAGTGTATTGTGAACAAGGTGACTAGGGTTACTGTGCAGTCAAGCTTTAATTTTAGGAATTAAAGAGTTCACTGACACAGCACTCTCATGGGAACTTGCATTTTTACATGAACTAGAAACAATGTCCCAGATTCTTGCTATTGCCATTATAATTCTGGCGGTTGGTGTGGGTACATGACTGTATTTAGTCCTCTTCCCTGAATCATAAAGTGCCTGAAAAGCAAACTTTGAAAAGGCCATTAAAGTATTTTGGCCTAACAGGGTAATGAGGATATTCATGGTGCCTATGCCTTCTCTTCAAGGAGTAGTACATGGAGATAGCAATGCTGCAACCATTAAATGACTGCATTGTTTGTTAATTAGTGATTTGTATTCTGGGTGACTTTTAATGCTTGTGAAGAAAACAGTATGTTTTTTTCTGAATAACTTGTAATTCTTCTCAAATAGATTTTATTTATGTATGTGTTAAGATGAAAAATTGCCCATCAATAATTACTACTTGTGTCCCATTCACAGGGTCATAGTAAATCAATTCAGTGTCTTACAGTGCATAAAAATGGTGGAAAGTCCTATATTTACTCTGGAAGTAATGATGGTCATATTAATATCCTTTGAATGATAGTGATAATTGTCGTAGCCTTACACTGAGAGAGCACATTAGGATGGGGAAAAAAATCCTTACTGAAGACAAAAACTTACATTTATTGAACAGAGGTGAATATTTTATGTCTAAATAAGTTTATTTTGCTTTCCCCTAACTTGCCTATTTTACTGTTCGCCCTTAAAATTGTCTGCTAAATATAAGCCAGTTTTTGACTTTCAATTATCACTCCGTTGTGGTAAATAGATTGTTAGTATGGATGAGCAAGTAAATATATACATTAGCCTCTTGTAACTTTCCATATATTCTGTCATACAGGCAAAATACATAGTACTGTCTCTTGCTTTTACTTGCAATAGGTAATCTCAGCATGTGCTGGAAGTCATGTATCTTGGCTTTTTAGATGTTCAGGGCAAAAAAGATCAACTCTCGTTGATCTGTCTCTTTGACCTGTTAACATGCATTTCTCTTTACAATTGAGTTTCTCCCACTTGTATTAAGGTGTGGTTTTGGTAGTTCTGTGACACATAGATTATGTTCTTTATTTGGTATCCCAAATGTCATTAGGCTTTCTCACTACTGAAGAGACCTGTACTTTGAGACTCTTGTTTCAGTCCTGTTGGTCTCTGGAGCAAAACGCTGGGAATGCAGCCTGGTTTCTGAAGGGCATGTTAAAGGGTGTGGTGGTTTGGGTGGTTTGCACCCTTTTAGCTTGCACCTTGCAGCCAAACGCAGCCTGCTCTCTCACTGCCCACCCCTGCCCCCCAATCTGGGAGTAGGGGAGAGAATTGGAAGGAAAAAGGCAAAGAAACTCACGGGTTGAGATAAAAACTATTTACTAATAGAAAATTAGTAATTCTTTACTAAAAGAAAATTACAATGATAACAACAGTGATAACAGAATATACAAATGAGTGATGCACAGTGCAACTGCTCACCACCTGCCAACCAATGCCCAGCCTGTGCCAACCAGCAATCCCAGAGCAGAGACAGTCCTGAAACCCCGGAAGCGCGAGTCTGAGAGAGGAAGAGCGAGTCTGAGAGATCCCCAAGAGAATACTCCCGTCTTCTGGTCAACCCTGGTTAATGTACTGACATGACGTGATATGGTATGAAATATCTCATTGGCATCCAAATGCCAGTTGTGGGCTTCGCTATTCACTGCATTTCTCCCTCCCAGTCCTAACACAGCTGTGAACCAGCCAAACACGGTGACCTTGAGCTCCAACAGCAACTAATGACATTAGTACTTTTATCAACATTCTTCTCATAACAAGTCTTACACTGAAACCAAAACACAGCTCTTCTAACTACACAAAAGAAAATTAACTCTGTCCTAGCAAAACCAGGACAGTATCCCCCCCTTATTCCATACCATTTATGTTATGCTCAGGCTTATATATATACACACATATATCATTCCCTTATTTTATGGACTATTCCTTCAAAATGTCTGAGTTCATTTAGTCCATAACCTTGGGTTCTGTCTGGCATGATAGCCTTTTAAGGCAGGAGAGGTGATGTGGAATTTACAGTCAATGGAGTAGGTGACATTGGACACAGCAGGAGAATGGTGTGTAGTCTCTGTTGCATGCTGCATCCGGAGCTCTTAGTTGGTGTATCTGGTGTGGTCCATGCCCACGATCTGCAGGTTGAAGATGTTGGTCTCAAAGGTGTTGATGGGTGCCAGCTCTGGTTCCATCAGAGTCAGTCTGCATTAACCTGAGGAGATTCTCAATACAAAGATGTTAATATAATACACAACAACCATAGCAGTGATGATAATGGCAACTCATCAGCTATTTTCACCCAAAATCAAATCTCCTTGAGGTACACATCGGACTTCCCCATCTTTCTGCATCACCCACCACATACACCCAGGTCCTTGAGCAAAAGCAATCCCACAAATGGGTTTGCCTTTACCTGAGGCAGGAATAACCCAGACTGTTTTTCCCAGCATATTTTTAGTGCGAACCAAAGGGACTTTAACCTCTTCTACAGTACGTAAAAATCTTGATTGCGCAGGTCTGGCTCTCTTGGCAGATCCTCTGATGTTGACTAACCAGGTGGCTTTTGCTAACTGTGTATCCCAGTGTTTGAAAGTTCCACCACCCATTGCTTTGAGTGTGTTTTTTAGCAGCCCATTGCATCGTTCGACTTTCCCAGAGGCTGGTGCATGATAGGGCATGTGGTACACCCACTCAATGCCATGTTCTCTGGCTCACGTGTCTAAGAGATTGTTTTGGAAAT